CATGCACAAAGAATAATCAGAAAGATTACCCCTGGGCTGGGGATGTAGGCGAGTGTATGGGAACAAAGTTCTGTCCTTACACACCCTGCGCTTTTCAGCCCGTTCCTCCTCCAACACCACCGGAACCCTAAGCAACACCGCGGGCCTCACCCGGGAAGCTGCGTCCAGCAGGCAGCGCTCCCGCCGCTAGGGGGAGAGAAAACACCAGCGTCCGCCGCCCAGCCGCGCTCCCGGCCTCCACGCACTGGCCGCCAGGCGTCACCCGAGAGGCCACGTTCCACGGCCTAGACCGGCGTTCAGAGCAATCTAACCACCCCAACTCAGGCAAAGGTTTGCCAGCTAATGGTCTGCGTGCCTACACTCCAGCTATACTGCCGAGCCCTCGCTAGCGCCTCGTCAACTAAAATCCAACCTAATAAAATTCTGCTTATTTTTAAATAAAACAGCAAGATCTGAGTTTAGTCTATTGTGTCTTAGTTCAACCTACCCAAATATATTATGCAAAAGAATCTAAAATGTTTAAACACGTACAGCCAAAACCTCTTCCAAACAAGATGGAAGAAGGCTTCTCCGCCCTATACTTCTCTTCTCTGCGGTTCTGTCGATTGCCAATAACCCATAACCTAAATGAGTTTAGCTGGGTGTATGGGCCCATGCCTGTAATCCCAGCATTCTGAAGGCTGAAGCGGGATTATCCACACGAGTTCGAGGCCAGCCGGGGCTACACTGCGAGACCCTGTCTCAAAAAAAAGAAAAAAAAAAAGGCTAAATGAGTTTAGCCTTGATGCCGATTCTCAGCGCCATGTGAGGAAGGCGCTGCTATTTTTTACAAACACATTCACAACAAAGACATGCACTTATCTTTAAAATCTAACACGGGAACTACTGTTGAACAGCCCAAGGCTCTCAGCTGGGAAAAGATTTTTGAGACAGGGTCTTGCTATGCAGTTCAAGAGCGAGCTCACTCGAACTCACGGTGATCCTCTTCCTGCCGCTGCCTCCCGAGGGCTGGAATTACAGGTGTGCCCCACCACACCAGGCTCTCGGCTGAAACTTAGAAATAATGCTTTCTAAAGCAGGTGTGGTGGCTGTAACTCCAGCACTTAGGAGGCTGTGGCAGGAGGATCCTCACAAGATCAAGGCCAAGCTGGGCTACACAGGGAGACCCTGCCTTCCAGCCAAGTAGAAGTAAAGCTTGTTTACAGCCAAGCCCCACCGAGGCCGAACCCTGTTCGTCTAACCGCCTCCCTCGCGCTCTGCTCGGGTCGGACAGGGGCTGTGCACTGCGGTACCCGCGTCCGCCCGGCCGCCTGGAGCGGGTGCTGCTCTGGGGCCGACCCCGCCCTCGCTCCTCCGGCTCTGGAGCTGCAGCCGTCTCACTGCAGACCCCGCGGGCCGGCGGCGGGGTGCGAGGCGCCTTCCTCCG